GGATATACAATTTCATGACATGAGGCAAAATACAGAAATGTATGTTTGTTGCCTAATTACTAGCAAAGCACAGATTCCATTTAACTTGTTTTCTGGTTAGACTGTCACGTTTGAGTCATTTTTCTCCCTTACATAAAACACGGAAGATGAGTGTGAAAGAAATATGGTGATAGGCAGAAATGCATTTTATTATTTTATTTGTCAGTTTGCCCTTCTGCCTTCGGGTAAACAAACATAAAACAAGTAATTCAATTGATCTGTTAAAAAAATGTTTGCTGAGTAAATATCTGATATTGATTTAATCGAATTTAGAGTAAGTCTTTGTTAGCAGTTCAGTGGTTCTGACATGGTGCCAAAAGGTTGTCAGAATGAGTGAGTGAGTGAGTTGGTTTAAGGCCGCTTTTAACAGTATTCCAGTTATATCGCGGCATGTCAGCTTAATGTGGGAGGAAAGCCCAAAGTGATGCAGGTCTCAGACGTTTACCACTTCGGTGAAACCCACGAGTACATGTGTTGTCAGAATGATGGCTTCTTTGTTTCTTGGTAGACACATGAAGATCATGTGTGGGTCTGACTGTGATACCTTTTGATAGGTCATACATGATGATAATAATTACATTTGCTGGTGGCTGCAAAGTGGTCAACTAAAGGCACAGGATTGACAATGCTGCTTCGGACATATAATCCTCATTTACTCGTAACAAGCAGTCTAGATTTCTCTAATTATGCCATTAGCTGAGCATAATAGAGGGGAAGTATGTGGCACTGTGTTCGGAAACAATACACTACACTTTGCAGAGTTATGCCCCTTAGCAGTTCCAGGATCTGCTTATCATGGGTTTGAATCCCAGATTCACCCTATGATCTTTGTTCATGTAGATGTCAGTCAGGAGTCACTGCTCCACAAAACACAGCATGACTTATGAAACATGTTTTAAGTGAATTACTGGTTAGTTTTATATCTAAAATATAAACCCATGATTGATGTTGGCATGTTGGGTTTGTCTGATCATGACATATTGATGTTTCTTTCTTTCTTCAATCCTTTGTGGTATTCTGGGCTTGAATTGGTGCTGGAATTAGACTGGAATGGATCTTGGTTATTGACTTGGTTGAAAAAATATCATCATGTATACCTATGATGTGTGAGGCTCATAATATCATCCACTGGTTTGTCTGGTCCAGACTCAACCTCTATGATACAGAGGGAATATTGCTGACTGTGATGCTCACTCACTCACGCACGCACGCACGCATGCACGCACGCATGCACGCACGCACGCACGCGCCCTCACTCACTCACTCACTCACTCACTGTTGTAACTTGCATGTAACTTACAAATTACCTTGAGCCAACAACTTACAGAACATTAACAGATTTTTCAACCCCTGAACAAGTAAATCTTTAAGCAGATCTTTGATGGCTGAACAACCCATGATTCCTTCTTTGTCATCAACCTTCAGTGTTTTCTGGGACGATAAATATTGATGCAGACATCTAGATACTGCAGCTCTTTTTAATACCACCATCAGACCAGTTTTACATCTTTCCTGAAAAGTTGACTTTGCATCAGAAAATCATCTCCTAAATTATTGCCCTTGTTTGTTTATGGTAGGATACAGGAATATGACGAGTTCTCGCTGATTGATTCTGTCTTTTTGTATTTTCACAACGATATAATGAGCTGACATGCACAGGTTTGGCGGTTTGATGTGTTTGTTCCTGCGTTTCCCCAAATTGAACAGGTTATTTGTCAAAGGGCTAAACACTATGCCAGGATCACACCACTAATTCCCCCCGACTTGATGTTATCGATGCCTCTCTTAGAGTTGTCATCCTGGTATGGAATTCTCAGACAGGATTTTCCTGTTTTTTCCCCGCCACCACAATTAATATCTCCTGTGCAGGTTTAATTGATGATGGTATGAAAGTTATGTCAACATAATACCTCGGTAGTGGGGAAGGATTGTGTGTGTCCATAGCGGACAACGGATGTGTTTTCATTCTTGCTTTTCATCTTGAGAGTGTATGTTAAGTAGCCATGTACCTTTGGCACCCGTTAAATCTGCAGAGGACCATTCTCAAAGTAACCATTAGAGCTGGATCAAATGTGGTTAGCGTAGAAATGGACCGAACAGTTGTAATAAGAACGCATTATGTTGTTGTTTTGTACAGATATTAATGTTATTTGCCGAGCAAAAAATTTAGGGATCATGAATATTTTTGCAATATTTTTGTGTAATGAAGACTGAGCACACAATCTCATAAAAAACATCCCCAATAATATTCAAGATCCTTAACCTTTTTTGTTCAGTATATATGTTTGGTATATTTCTGTACTTCAGGGCCCTGTTCCACAAAGAGATCTTAGCGCTAAGGTGATTGTAACTCCCATACTTTAACATAGACTTATGACAGTCGTAGCGCTAAGATTGCTATGTGGAATGGGGCCCAGGACCCTGGTCCACAGAGCGATCTTAACGCTAAGAAAGTAACTTCTTTTAGTGGCATTTAGATGTTGGCATGATGAACAAGGAAGATAGTTCAATGGATATAAAACAGTGTTAGTATCTACACCGAAACATCACATTGATTGTAATAAAGAAGTTGCATACCCATACAACTATCTCCCTTGCTAAGAAAATAGTAATCTCCATTATTTAACAGTGACTTACAACAGTTGAAGGGCTGAGATAGCTTTGTGGCATGTTGCCCTGGTCAGTATTACGACTTGATGACCTTTGGGAATTGTATTGTGGTCTGTTACGAAAATTAAAATATCTGTGTTTTCACAGTGAATCACATCTGACTTATTGATGAGTGAGTAATTGAGTTTGGTTGCTTTTAACAACCTACCATGGAGTATGGTGATATTGGTTCTGGTGTTGATGTTGATGTTGATGTTGATAATTCTTATGAATCCTCTACCTCTATTACGTCATTGCAAAATCCTGTATTTTGGCTGCAATCACATTAAACTTTGAATGTTTCATAGATTGTGATGTTGTTGATGTTGAGGGGGATGTTTAACACCACAGTTTGCGACACCGGCCAAGGAGTCATGAGTCCTCCAGGTACCGCAGGCCAGTAGACTGTCTAGCCATAACCACATCAAAATAGTATACAATTAAATGAACCTACCTGTCATATCATTCATTTATTAAATCTGTCACTTTGTACAGTGTGAAATATGTATTTCATTTCAAGTTATCATGATTTATCGAAAGATTAAAAATATATTCACTATTTCCTGTTATTGAACGAAATAATTCTCGGACACGTGCTTCAACAACAGGTCCATATTGAACATGTCAAAGAGCAAGATAAAGACATCTCAAGCAAATCTTTAAAAACTTAAATAAAGCAATAAATAAAATCAACAAAAGTTTATATAAAAGTTTTCAAACTTTCATCTAGGTTCTTATTTCCATCTTTTCGTGGGATCGCGTGTCATGTAAGTCAAATGACTTCATGGCATTCGTCGCCTTGCAGACACAATATTTAGTGCCCAAATATTTGCAGGAGAAAACTTTGTCACCGCTCGTAACCTAGCATGATATGTTCATGAAGTTCCGTTTTTTTAATATAGGTCGTGATTTCCTGCTGAAAACATTCAGAATAACACAATTTAACCTCTCTTCTAAATCTGAAATTCATCATGCAGGAGAACAGTATCCATTGCTGTAATTTGATTGGCTGCCTCAGGTGTGTGCTTGAATTTGACCAATTGCAATCCTTATAGCAGATTTCGGCCAGAAAGCATCATTAGTAACCAATATCTATCCAAAATTACAGCTATATAAATACTCCAGGGAGGTCAATTGAAGTCAATAGCTTTCTAATGATCCCAAACAGCGAACAAATCGACACACATGTTGTTCATAAAAATGCTTCAAAATGGAGGTATTTTCAGGTTATCAGGAAATGGGTGATGACAGATCAAATGTAAAATTCTTTTGGAAGTAATGTTCTGATTATGTAAACAATGAAAATATAAAAAAATAGGTAAGTGGATATTCTGAAATCATAAAATTGCCAAAAATTGTCATATTTTTCACATCGTTGTCACTTAATCTGGATGTTATGAATGTGTTAGTTTACATTTTTTATAAAATGAACTTAACTAAGTTGTAAATGCAATTATTGAAACAATGAAATAAACATAACTTTCATATTTATTAACGCTAGGATTAGACCTTTTAAATGGTGTATGACATGTATTATCATATACCTATCAATGATAGGCAACATGAAGATGGTCATATCACAGGGGGTGTGATAACCAGTCTCGTATTACCCCCCTGCAGGGCTGATATGGCTTGTCAATGTATTTTCCATGGTAGATCGATATCAACAGTTGGTAAGATATAGAGGATATTATATGAGTGTTCATGTTATACTATGTCTAAAAACCGGAATTTAGGCACAAGTGTCGTAAACATGGTATGACATGAACACGAATATATGTTCTATTTATTACCGAAGAAGATGTCCACATACAGAGACAAATTAGGACGGCAAGTCTCAAGAGCAGCGGAACCACAATTTGTCAAATGACGTCAACAATCTTCAGCTATGACGTTGTTTCTTGTGTGACGTCATTCCGACCTCATGACCCTTGGGCACATATGATTTTTTATGAACCCTGATATGTTTGCCCTCGTGGGTAATACATTTGGAGTTACCGGTACGTCCCTTAGTGTGTCTGCTAAGCTAGCTTTCCCGTGACAATGTCTTCCAAACAAGGTGACAATGTATTGCATTCACTTGCAAAGAGATACAGTTTACAGTTTGATGTTATGGTATATGATAAAAAAGTTATTATATGGCAGTATTTATATCATAGCTCATATCCACCCTCAACCCCCACATCAGGCTTCTGGCTTTTGACCCTTGGGCTGAGATGAGGGTCTCGGTTTGATATGGGGGTCTCGGGCTGAGATGGGGGTCCCGGGTTGATATGGGGTATGATATGAAACTGCCATACAATAACCTCTAAGTAGAAGAAGATGTTTTACAATGTGATAATATTCCCTGATAAATGTAGGCTTCATCTATCACCCCAGAATCTCAGGATACTCAGTGTCACAGCAGTACAAGCTTCTGGTTGACTGGTGTTGAAAGACTTAAGTTCATGGTTGGTGATGGCTGATATAGATGTTGACAATGGCTTGTCTGGCGATGTTCATGGTGATTCTGTTTATGGCGATGTTCATGATGTTTCTGTTTATGGTGATGTTCATGGTGATTCTGTTTATGGCGATGTTCATGGTGATTCTGTTTATGGTGATGTTCATGGTGATTCTGTTTATGGCGATGTTCATGGTGATTCTGTTTATGGTGATGTTCATGGTGATTATGTTTATGGTGATGTTCATGGTGATTCTGTTTATGGTGATTCTGTTTATGGTGATGTTCATGGTGATTCTGTTCATGGTGATTCTGTTTATGGTGATTCTGTTTATGGTGATGTTCATGGTGATTCTGTTTATGGCGATGTTCATGGTGATTCTGTTTATGGTGATGTTAATGGTGAGTATGTTTATGGCAGTGTTCATGGGGATTAACGTTTACAGTGATCCCTAATGGTGATTATGGTATTTATAGCCATGTATGTTGTTTTTGAGTCTTCTGGAGATTCCTGCACTAAATGGAAATCTTTGAATTCAACATCATGTCTGAAAGCATTTCAATCTCACAATTAAAGTATAAAGTACAAGCATGTCCTGTTCACTTCATTGATTTTTCAAAAAGACGGATTACAGAATCCTCTGAAACAATTCCCAGTTGGCTGTGTTGTAAGAGGCCTTTTACTTCCAAGTGTATGTCACTTGAATACTGATAGAGCCTTCCTGATTGTCAGATTAGAAAACCTACTGCATCATACTTTTTTCTTTTTAAAATGCAAGTTTAATCATAGTGTGCTCATTAAGGGAAAGTTGGATTTGGTTCTTATGTATGAAGATTTTTTTTGCATTAGGTAAAGGGAATTCCATCCCACCACCAGCCCAAACACGACCCCTACGTCAATATGTCATGTTCATTCACCCACTGACAATGTCACAGAGCCTGCCCATTTTGGTTTGATCTTACGACAGGCACAGTGTAATGGGGACTTATTCTAACAAGGCATCCTCCGGGCTAGAGAAGCACAGTGTATTGGGGACTTATTCTAACAAGGCATCCTCAGGGCTAGACAAGCACAGTGTATTGGGGACTTATTCTAACAAGGCATCCTCCGGGCTAGAGAAGCACAGTGTATTGGGGACTCATTCTAACAAGGCATCCTCCAGGCTAGACAAGCACAGTGTATTGGGGACTTATTCTAACAAGGCATCCTCCGGGCTAGAGAAGCACAGTGTATTGGGGACTTATTCTAACAAGGCATCCTCCGGGCTAGAGAAGCACAGTGTATTGGGGACTTATTCTAACAAGGCATCCTCCGGGCTAGACAAGCATAGTGTATTGGGGACTTATTCTAACAAGGCATCCTCTTGGCTAGACAAGCACAGTGTACGTGTATTGGGGACTTATTCTAACAAGGCATCCTCCGGGCTAGACAAGCACAGTGTATTGGGGACTTATTCTAACAAGGCATCCTCAAGGCATAAATCTCTGTTATTTTTTGGCATATTTTCAATCATGTATGATTTTGAGTGTTTCTTGCTACTTTGAGTAATATTATAAGATTATCACCAAAACACCAAAACCAAGGTGATAATAAAGGAATAAAACCTGTGTATAAGATGTGATAAACAAACACTTTAACCACTGAGCTACCCTGCTACTTGATTACTGGGTGATGTTGTAGTGTACTGAGGGAAATGTGACTGAAAGTGTCTGTATGTGACCAGACAAGTTGTGTAAAGGCCTGGCATCCCATTGATTATTGAGCAAACGTGGAGGCCCAACGCTTCTCTGTTGCAACATCTTGCACAACCTACGAAATGATTCATTTGAAACGTTCCCACTTGATTGTGACAAAACACCTCTGATTGTCAAATCATGTCTCCTCAATCTTCAAATTCAGGATGAAAATCTAATCCAAGTATTGAGCAAGGACTGAAATAAGAGATAGAACTGTGTAAAATGTAAAATGTTTTTGGACATTGTAAAAATAAATATAACGCGATGATGCCAGAGAATAATCTGTCTCGATTATCTGCAGAAACAGATTCCACTGGAAGAAAAATGGAAAATAGGGGTGAAAATTATCTGAATAGATCACTGAAAATCGGTGTGGCCCTAAAACAATCAAGTCTTAACCAGACAATCCAGTGACAGTGCATTAACTGATTAGGTTGAAACTAAGAACGGAATGGTAATTTTGAATTATGTTTGCTGTGTACAAGTGCAGAGATTCTGCTGCTTACAAGTAAAGAGAAACATTTAAAAAATATGTTTGTTTTGCAGTGGGCTGGTTTAGTGTATCGGTTCAAGCATTTCTTTTGTAGTTGACTCGGGATAATTGGTAAATACTATTGAATATATAATACAACTTTGGGACTTCAGACCACTGACAGAAACATCCTCCCATTTCTAGTATGAATTAAAAGCACTATATTGTGGTGGTGGCATTTCCATGTAGAAGTGTATCCTATGTGCAAGTATATCAATGTTTGAAATAAATTAAGAATGTAAGTCCAGAGGTCCTTGTCATAGCCCCAGTGTTATAAGATACAGATTTTGGGGGTCCTTAGATTCAAATACATGTACTATCGGAGCAAACCTCAAGGACTCCAGGACCCCATAATTTCTAACACTGTACAGTATAAAACACCTGCACTTTTCTAAGTTTGAGATCATCAGGATGTTATTAATATAATGATTTCTTGTAATATTGGACATATGCTTTCTAGAATCAGAGTTATGTAGTTTTTCCTGCCAAGGCTTTAACTGTAAAGCATATATCTGATTGTCAAGCCACTGACATTTATGACCTCTTTACCATTTCAGAGGCTGTGTGGGCTTTTGAGGATATTTTTGATTTTGTAAGAATATTTTGTCAGTTTTGGTTGCTTTTGTCAAAAGTACATAAACATTTCTTCACTCGTGCTCGTGGGTTTCACCGAAGTGGTAAACGTCTGAGACCTGCATCACTTTGGGCTTTCCTCCCACATTAAGCTGACACGCTGTGATATAACTGGAATACTGTTAAAGGCGGCGTTAAACCCAACTCACTCACTCACTCATTTATTACACAATACAATTTTCTCCTCTAAATCTTTTTTTTCCTGATGCTGATAGAGCAGACAAGACTTGCTTTTGTATAATCTAGATTGATTTTGGCCAATATGCTAACACCGTCATTTGTGCAGTATCCTCAGTTAAAGCCTTGGTGGTCACACACCGAAACTGTAAGTGTATTGGTGGCTTTGAAAGGTATGAGTCTAACTACAATGAACTACAATAGGTGATAAGCTTTACTGTGTGTTGATACAAATTGTTTCACAAACGGTTTTTTATTATCTGTATCACACACAAGATGGCCCTGACCAATAGGAAGCGCTTTATTTACTTGGCCAAATCATGGATTGGTGATGCCGTGTATGCACACTTTTGACAACAACTAAGATAGTGTTGGATTTTTTGCAAATTTCTTTCCTTTTCGATTTTTAATCAAATTCATTAACATTAAAATATAGTGTATCATGATAAATTCTCCAGAACCCCATGATTGTCCCCTTGTGGGGATGCCAAGGCAGACTAGATGTCCATTACCCCATGCTTGTTTCCTTGTAGGAATTCCAAGGCAGACTAGATCTCCATTATCCCATGATTGTCCCCTTGTGGGGATTCCAGGGCCGACTAGATCTCCAGTACCCCATGCTTGTCTCCTTGTGGGGATTCCAGGGCAGACTAGATCTCCATTATCCCATGATTGTTCCCTTGTGGGGATTCCAAGGCAGACTAGATCTCCAGTACCCCATGATTGCCTTATGGTGGGTGTTTCCAGGGCAAGCTAGATCTCCAGCACACCTTGCTTGTCTCCCTGTTAGTGATAATTTTCAGACACTGATTCAAAGTCCCTTAAACATTGTTCTGTGAAGGGAAATGTATGTACATCTCCATGCAACTAGTTGAATTCAGCCCCCAACTGGACACTCAGAATATCCCAACCCAAAGTTGAGCAGAACATGACAATGAACATTTAGAATGTGAACCTTGAAGCATGACAAAGATTGACAGTTGATGCTGTAGTCGCCGTTGTGTGATTTTGGCGTTATGCTGTCAATGTTCCCTGGAAGCGATTGTCAGCTACAGCAGACAAGATGTTAGCAGTGGTGTCTTTTATCTTGTTCCCAGAAATAGTATCAATTTCCGTAATCTGCTCGATGAAAGACGTACAGGATTGGTTCTTTCAGTCACTTACCTTTCCCATCAGCTGATTATAATATCATTGTCTGAGATTGTCATGCAGTTGTATGCATCATTAATAATAGACTGACAGCCAGATAGAATCACATTGTTCACTTGCTGTGACCTCTTGAGGATTCAGGGGAGGACTATCGGTTGGTTTGTTGTTTTTTGCCACAGTAATCTATAGCTATATCAGAGCAGTCTATTAAATTGTTCCCTGGTCAGAAACACCAATGATTAATGGAAGGAGCAACTCCCTACACTTTTGGGATAAGATGACATGCAATCAACCTTATAGTCTTACCCACTGATCCAAATTTGGTTGACCTAGTGATAAGAAGCAAGAGTCCAAGGCTCCATGCTACAAAGCAGTCTTTGTGCTATGATTGTTATTAGTCTATGTGACAACATAGAGTTATTATCGTCTTAGTACTAAGATCACTTTGAGGAACGGGGCCCTGGGGACATAATCTAACCCTGGTCCAAGCAGAACAGAGCCCAGGGTGACATTGTACAAAAGAAACTTCATGCTATCACTGTCGTAAGTCTATGATAAGGCATGGGAGGTACGACCACCTTGCGGCTAATGTTGTTTTGTTCAACGGCACCCAGGTCCACAATGCAATCTTGGCATTGAGGTGATGATAAGGCCTATACCTTAAGCTAGGCTTAAGTTGCAGCACCGAGATTTTGTTGTGTAATGATTCCTCAGTATTTAATGATTGTAATTGGAGCAGACCAAAAAGGGGATTGTTGTCTTAATTGCTGTTTCCTGAGAAAGTCTGAGAAACAATATATCTTCATATAGTCCAAAATAGGTAAAGCGCCCTTGGCAGACAAATTGGGAAAAATCTTTAATTGTTCAAATTGTGACAAATAAATCGACATGTAAATTAACTGCAGACCATAAGGACCCATACAAATTTGGAACTATGGGCCTGACACAAAGATCTAACTGCCACGGGCCTACGGGCAGGCACATATTTCTAACACTGGTAACTGCAGTTATTAATCAAATTGTTTTGTGTATGATTTTGTTGACAATGTGTTAGTGTGATAGTCATTCATGTGTAACAGAGCATGTCATCTCACAAATGACATCCTTACCTTGTCAGCTTGCTGACGGGTTAACATCTTTGGTCATGTGGACAAGGCATCTGACATCAAATCAGATGGTCTGTGCTTCGAATCCTAAGATTAAAGTGTATTGGTCAATACAAACTCAATGACAGGGCTATTCAGCTGGGCCATTAATGCATACACAACTGTCGTCCTAACATATTTTGTCCAAAGAGTACCTGTATCCAGTCAGCTGATGTGTCACTCTATGGTTAGATAGGGATAGTGAGTGAGCCTAGTGGTTAAAGCATTTGCTAGTCATGCTAAAGACCCTGGTTCATCCCACATGGGTACAATGTGTCGGGCCCATTTCTGGTGTCCCCCGCCGTAATGTTGGTGGAATATTGCTATGGATGGATTCTTCCACCCCCTAAAATTTGATATGAGTTAACAAAATATAGCATACAATAACTGCAAGACAATGGTTTGCTATACGATAAATCATGAGACATGGTTAACTGTCAACAAATGGCAGCAGAATCAACTCATGACAAACAAAGAAATAAACACGTCTGTCCTCGTTCTAAAAACACAATCGCCCCAGTCCTTAAAACTGTTCTGTTATCAGAGGCTTTGTAATCAAATACATCAAAGAACTAGAATGTAATAAGACACAATTTTTCTCTATGATTCCTTGGTTTGAGACTAAAAGCAACCAATCAGCAGTGAAATTGCCTCAGTTATTTCAATATCACTAATAAACATTAAGCTATATATGGCAAGGGCATAATGACTTTAATGATGAAAATCAATGATAATCTCTTCATTGTAAGCATTATGATTAGTTTTAATATCTTATTCGCCCATTTAGGATGGAAA